TCATAGATTTGAAAAGAATGGTTATTTATTCTACAGTAACGTTTTTTTCAAGATTTTGTAGTCAGTGTGGATCCCACTGTAGCTACGGATGCACCTCAAGTGCCTGGGCTTGAAAACAGCAATGTCTGTCCCGGCCATGCATCACTGTGAGCCTCCTTGTGTTCCCGTACAAGGGCATAAAGGGTGGAGTGGCCCCAATCCTCCCTTGCAGTTTGAAGCCCATGGTAAATGAGGACTCTCAAAGCAGGAAATGAAACGTGGGGCATAGGCTGGGGCACCCATGTAAAAAAATGGTGGGTACTTAGTATCCACTGGCAGCCCCCCTATCAGCACCTTCCCTTCCCCTCCAGTGCCTCCTGCCTGCCACGATCAGCTGTTCCACCCCATGAATCAGGCACTGGGGGGGGGGTAGGGGGAGGAACGATGGCGGGGCGTGCTCATGGGAACAGGGCACAAAATGGTGGGGTGTGGGCGGGGTGGGAAGATGCAGAAAGGGGGTGGGGTCTTGGGGTAAGGGGTGGAGTAGAGTCTGGGGCAGAGTTGGGTGGGAGTGCCCACTGGGCACATTAGAAAGTGGGCACCTATGCTGGGAAGTGTTCCAGTTCTAGGGTTGATACTGGCATAAATCTTGCTGTTGATGTCTGTACTGGTGCAACCATCTCTTGGGTCTTTTTTGTTGCTGGTGCCTTGGCGCTATCCCTTGTCAATGCTGAGGACTTCAGGGGCTTCTCTCTGAGCTTTGAGTCCTCTCTGTAGGATGGTTGCACCGACTGCTCCATGAGTTTGTGCTCAATGTGGGAGTGCCCTTTTCTCTGTGTACCGAGGTTGGCATGATCAGCATCAGGGATATTGGTTTTGGTCCCCATAGTCTAGGTGCCTTTTTGGCTTCTTCTCCCTGCTCAAACCTAAGGTGCAGTGTCTAGTAGTTGGGGCACTTGACGAAGACAGTTTTCTTGGTTCTGGGAGGGAGAGTGTCTCTGCTCTTAGATCGGATGCTCCCTTCATGCATTTCTCCAAGAGGTGCATCTTGAGCCTCAAATCTTGGGATTTTTGGTGCAGGAACAGAATGAGTGGCAGAAGGAACACTAGTTGGGGATATGACCCTCCCTGATCCAGACCAGGCATCTGCAGTGTCCATCTATTCAGGGCATTCAGGCATCAAAAGGAGGACAGGATTTAAACCCAGTGGGGTTCAAGTTCACCATAGTTAGCAGTTGGTCCAAACAGTCTCATTCTGCTTGGTTTTTTTTGTGGGGGGGAATACCCAAAAGTCTAATCAAAGTTTTAATGCAAAGAATTAAAGATGGTTTCTTCACCAAAACAGAGATCTGAAGTTCAGGAACAGGTCAGACACAATCCAGATTCCATCTCCCTGTCACAGGTGGTAAGCAGGAACTGAGGGAGGGTCAAGACCACTCCGCCCTTTATGCACAGCTCTGCCAGATGCTAGTATTCAAAACATTCTGAGCTTGTGTGCATGAGGAGGTGCATGCAGGGCTGGCTCTGGCTTTTTTTGCCGCCCTAGGCAAAAAAGCCACCTGCCGCCCCCCCCGCCCCCCCAGCGCAGCAGGGGAGGGTGCCGAGCAATCCCCGACCGGCCGGAGCGCCGGGAGAGGGCGGGGAGCCCAGCCGGGGCTCTCCGCTCTCCCCGGTGGCCTGAGCACCAGGAGGAGGGCGGAGAGCCCGGCTGGGGCTCTCCACTCTCCCCAGCGGCCAGAGTGCCTGGGGGAAGGCGGAGAGCCCCCGGCGGCCAGAGTGCCGGGAGGAGGGCGGAGAGCCCGGCCGAGGCTCTCCGCTCTCCCCGGCGGCCAGAGCGCCGCGGGGAGGGTGGCGGCGAGCCCAGTCGCGGCCCCGCTCTCGGGCCGGAGCGCCCCGCCACGCCGCCCCCCTCCAGGCGCCGCCCCAAGCACATGCTTGGTGGGCTGGTGCCTGGAGCTGGCCCTGGGTGCATGCACACCTACAGTAGAATCCATAGTGACACATATTGAAGAACTTGTTACACACTTCTTATTAGTACACTAAATTCCCTAATGAACTTTGTAACCAAACTAAATATAGGATTAAGAAAGCTGTGATTTAAAACCAAACCCCTCAAAAAAACCCATACCCACACATCACAAGCATAATTATGTCAAATTTTCCTTTTTTATTTGATGCTTTTTTGCTTCATCCCATTACCAATTACAGCAAGGCCTCCTGCTCTTGAAGGAGAGAAGGCAGCTCTCAGAACAAAATGCACTGCTATATAGACTTTTATTGGTGGAGAATGTCCCACAGGAAAGGTTTCACTGATGCCCTTTTTAAACAAAGCACCAATTTCTGCTTTTTACTCAGTTTTCTCTATCATCCTCCTAATCTCAAATATTTCTAAGGCTGAATAGCTGAGAGTTATAACAAACCAGTTCAAACTATTATTCAATAGGTATACCACTTAACAGTATAACATCCCATTCAGTACTGAATGGAAGTAAACAACAATGTATGAAGATACCAAATAGTTATTCAGGTTGTGTAGCGTGAAATCTCCTTCCAAAATTCCTTATCGTTCATTACCAATTGTATTTAGAATAATACCACCACCTTAATAGTCACAGCTTTGTCTCATCATACCTGAGCTCAAGATAGCATAAGGCTTATGTTTTATATTTAATTTGACTTTTTTGTACCCCTTTCCACATATTTGTGTTTTTAAAATGAAGTATTGCCTAGATTACATATGACAATCCAGTCAATTATTCTCATGATTGAAAACCTAGGTGCATGAAGACTTGAAAATGAACGCCTAAAATGATGACCACATGCACATTTACCACTCAAAATATTAGAAATAGTGACTTATTCAAAACAAAGAAAACCACGGTGCTGACCACTCCCGGTCAATAAAGCTTCTTTGACATGTTGTTTGTAAGGATAGGGTTGTTAATCCTGACAAATGTAATATATTTGAGTAATAACATTCTGCCTATATAAAAAGTCCCTATGGTTTCTATGAGATAAGTAGGCTTGGCAGAATTCAGTGTTTATGTTTTTATAATTTTGACAGGCATTTCTATATTTATGTTTAAGCATTTATTATAGATGGAAATATTTTTGTTGATTTGTGTATGCATAGTGAAATCAACGTTTACCAACATTTACTGATAAAAATCTAATCTCTCCAACCCTATATTTAAGTGGTTCTTCAATTCTTTTCCTTAAAAATTGTGTAGTGTTGTGATATTGTTAAACAGTTGCTGCTTTCCATCCCACAAATGGTGTGAATTCAAGGGAAGCTGAAGTGATTTTTAGATGCAAAATGTTTTGGTATTATTAGGAATGAAAGGCACTACAAATCTAATATTATACTTCACACATTTTCCAATTAACCCATACTATCTGATGTACTTCTGTCAAGTGGGGAACTGTAAGGAAGTCTAAAGAGCACTTAACACAAGATGAAATGCTCCTCCATCTATCAACAGTTTAAAATCTGGAATATAAAAATAAATAGTTATTACAATGAAAATGTGTATTCTACTACCTCCATTATCCATAATGGTTGATAATATTTTCATCCTCCCCATCATCCAACTTCATAATCTGGGGAGCATTTTTTATTCCTTTTCCTCCAACATGTAGGCAGGTACCAAATCTTTTTGCTTCTCCTTCCACGTTTCCTTCTGATTGCTAAGGTCAAGGTGGGATATATCTAAAGAATGAGTTAGCCATCCTCTCATCTCAGTTTAAAAAAAAAATGGAGGAATACAAGATTGGTTTTAAATTTACTGCTACTAGAATAATCCCTCACTTCTTCCCTGTAACCACAACACCACTCTTTGAGATGCTTCACTGGCTCCCACTGCATTGTGCACCAAGTTCAAACGTCCATCCTTATTTTCAAGGTCCAAAATAGTGCAGCCTCTATCTACATCTCTGATCTGGTCTACTTTTACATTCCCCTCTGCTAATTATGCCAGTCTTGATACCATTTATTCTTATATCCTTTCATGGTAACCCTTATTCTTGGAACAACCTTCTAAAATTTGTCTGTCAAGGCTCCACCATCACCTCATTGAAGTCACTTGAAAATACCCATTTCTGAACATTGCCTACAAGCAGTGTTTGCAATATATTTTAATAATCGAAACATGTGTATGCCTAAAACCAAGCTTAAGATGGTTACTATGTTTTCCTCACCCCTTCCTTCTGGGCGTAAGTCATAACTTCACAAACCTGTCATGCTCACTATTAATATTGTAAGTTCTTTGGAACAGGCAACTCTTCTGTGAAAAGCCTAGCACATTTTTGAGCACTATAAAATAAATAACATCATATACTACTCTTACTGTTTAATACTACATAACATGTATGTACATCTGTTCTGTCCCCAATGTGCAGCCACTGTCATTAGCATTATTATTAGGGCCAAACTGATGGATCTGAACTCCTATGAACTCTAGCTACTAGAGGATAAATGTCTTTACCTAACTGGAAATAATATATGCATACTGGTTAACATATACCATTGCCCCTAGTATGTGGCACGTCAAACTTGCTCAAATATTTGTGACAATAACATTCAAATACCTGTTCCAAAGACATAAACCCTAGTCTTAGCACGTCTCTAAGGTGCCACAAGTACTCCTGTTCTTTTTACAGCTGACAGTGTTTGTCCTTTAGCTCAAATGGTAGATGCCTGTGTTTAGTTGGCAGCTGAGTGCGCGTGCCTGTGGGTGTCACTGGAAGTGGGAAGCAGATGAGTGGGAAGGTAAATATCACTGGAGGAGGGAGTTTGGTGGGTGTTGCTGTGGAGGGAGGGAATGTGATTAGAAGAAGGTAATGAGTATCACTGTTGGGGAGGGGGCTGGTTGGAAGGGTTGATGTGTGTTGCTGGGGGTAAGCCATTGAATGGGAGGTGTTTGTGTTCATCTTTGGGGATATGGGGCTTTTGTGGGTGGCTTGGTGGGGGAGGCACATAAGAGGGAGGGGGAAGCAGCTGAGTTTTGGTAGGCTGGTGGGTATCAGTGGGTGAGAGGAGGTTAGGTGGCAAAGTTGGTGGGAGCTGTGGTTAGTTGTACGGTGGACACTAGAAGAGGGAGGTTATATGGCCGGAGTGTTCCTCGGAGGGAGGACTGGCAGGTATGAAGAGGTCACTGGAAAGTGGAGGCAGATAGATGGGAGTGGTGTCACTGCAGGAGGAGGAGCTGGAATCTGGTTGGTGTGGAGAGGTTGGCAGGTGTCCTGCGTTGCCTGACGTCACTGAGGTTAAATAGAAAGGCTGGTGGACGTCTGTGGGGCGGGGTTATTACGGGTGTCCCGGAGGGGGTGAAGTGCGGGAACTCAGCAGCTAGGAGGGGATTTCCACAGATTGCATCACCGCTGCCCAGAGTGTGACTTCTTCGGAAGCCCCTTCTCCACTCTCCCCAAATTGGTACCGGAAGTGACGTCGCGTCTTCGGCCTCCAATCAATAATGTCTCCGGGAGGTGGGGCGGGGCGCTAGTTGCCATGGTATCGGACGCTCAGCTCCTTTCTTGCGGCGCTCCTCGACTCCCTAGTGGAGACGAGGCAGGAGCCTCCGCGCCCAGCCATGAGCAGCCTGTCCGTCGGGCGGAAGCTAAGCCTGTCCCCGCACATCCTAGAGCTCCTGGCGCTGCCCTGCTGCCTGGAGGAGCTGGAGGCGGACTGCCGGTAAGAGAATCACGGGACGGGGCTGGCAACTCTGTGGGGTGAACACGCGGAGCTGGAAGGGGAGGAGCCGAGGTAGGCGGGGGAGCTGGAGGGGGCGGAGCTGGGGCAGCTGAGGTAGGCGGGGGAGCTGGAGGGGGCGGAGCTGGTGGGTGGAGAGGACTTGGGGACCAAGGAAGGCCAGGGAGACAGGAGGAGAGCATCTGGCAATTCATTGTGGCGGGAACAGCAAGAGCTGGTACCTTGTTTGGTGGAAGTGGTCCCTTGTTGTACCTAGCCTTACTCCCTCTAACTGTTGAGTAGGGGACGTAGGGCACCTTGATACTAGCAATATTTGTACTGTCTATGCTTAAAAAACAGCTGTGAAACTTTGAGAATTAGCCTTGAAGGTTTTTATAACACAGGAACTGCTTGTTATTATTATTTTTTTTAATGCTCCTCTTTCCAAAGGCCTTTTTGAAGAGCCCCTTCAGGGAATGCACTAACTTGTTTAGTTGGAGTTTCAAGCCAGAGGATTGTACATCTGCTCTCTGTGGTTGTGAGAAATCCTATCAAATTAAAAATACCAACTAGCTATTTTTAAGCAATACCAATTCACCCTCATGGACCCATTCTTCTAAAATGACAACTGAAGATTACTTTAAATTATATTAACTCACCCCTCTGTACTGTTATCATGTGACCCAAAACTAGCTTTTAAATCAGTCCTTGGCAGTACGTGACCTTATTCTTACATCTTAGTTTCATAATGCTTTATTCATATTTGTGTAAGATTTAAAAATTACAAGGAGTTGTGCCTACTATTGCTTGACACCCATTGTGCAATGTTCCTCAACATAGCATTATTTTGGTATGACTAAAGAGCTTCTGTGTGTGAGGTAGATACCATATCTTTTTTCCTCAAAGAAAATGAAAATTTTACCCCTCCCCTATCCCCATCCTTATGTTCTGATCCTTTCCAATGTCAAAAGATAAGTAGGATCTGACTTAGCAACAGTTAAAGAACATTTGTGATAGGAAGTGTTGCCCACTAATTCAGTAGGAAGCTGAGTATTGCCATTTTGCGACCCTCCCATCAAGTCCTGCCTCCAGTAGTGGCTAAAATAATAGTTTATGTTTTTAGGAGATATTAAATATCTCTGGAGATATTTAAGAGTAGGTTAGTTAAATGTCTGTCAGGGATGGTCTAGACAGTATTTGGTCCTGCCATGCGGGCAGGGGACTGGACTCGATGACCTCTCGAGGTCCCTTCCAGTCCTAGAATCTATGAATCTAGGAGACAAAAATCCTGTAATATGCATTCGACTGTCTGAGCAGTGGTGCATGTGGGAGAGGTGTGCATGGTGCTCTTTCACCCTGCTTCAGTCCTGATTCTGGATCCCATTAAGATGCTAGTGGGCATTCTGCTGATGGAGTGAGTGTTTGGGGCAGTCTTTCAAATATAAAACTGATGTTTTAGCCACTTGTATCCTTGTTTATATATTGAACTGTGCTAGTGTCAAATCTGTTACTCTAAATTCTAGATGAGGGGTTGCGTATGTTACTCAGAATCTGTTTATGTACCTAGGTTTATTGGAATTATAAGAAAAATGACAAAGCAAAAAGGGGTAATCAGCTGAACAAATATTCACATCATTCATTTTTGTGTCACTTTAATACTTCAAGGTTATGATCTTCTGTGCCTGTAAACAAAATGTTGTAAGAGTCACAAAATGGTTCTCTCTGAATGCTTTCAAACCTGTTCTGAGGCTTTTTCTTTATGAATTAAGTAATTTGAATATAGCCTTTTCTCTAATCTATACTGATCAGTTTAAACATCTTTCCAATTAAGGGATAAGTAGCTAACAATAATAACCAATTTAAAACTAAAAACATTGTCACATCATAAAACTGGATGTCTTATACAGAGTTTTTTGGTAGACTCTTGGTCATAGCTTTTGCTTTTCAGCTTCTGTCTTCCGGGATGTTCCTGACTCCTGTGGACTACTTGACCATATATGACTATGTTTCACATTATCTCTCATGAAAATTGTTGAAGAACAGAAGTTTCTTCAACAGTCTATCAGGAAAAGGACTTGCTACATTTCTAGCTAGAGCTTACTGGTCCAAACTTGGCATTTTCTTCTAATCATAGAATTTTATTAAGATGACAGTGAGTAGTCATTTTTTAAAACAATGGCGTAGTTAGAGGTGGGATTTTCAAAACTACCTACATGGTTCAGGCACACAAATACTATTGAAAGTCAAAGGGATTGGTGCACCTACGTTATGTAGGCACTTTTGAAAATCCTGTCCAAAGTTTTAGGTTCATCACTACATACTAAGAATTAATGTGAATTCTTGGAACTGTGAAGGGTTGTGTCAGGGCAAATTAAGAGGAGTTGAATTTGAAGAGTCAGTGTATAACTAAAACAAGATTTCATACTATTTTGAAGGCTGTAATGCTGTTTCATGCAGCAAATTTTGTCCTAGTAATCTCTCTTTCTACAACATGGGTGCTGTAGAATTAGCAGGTGTGAAAAAAGTTTAGTTTTTTAAGTGTTTTTGTTAAACATGAAATAGGTTCTTAACTCCATTCACTTGGTTTGAAATTTGATATTTTTTGTAATGCTTTTAAAATAAACAAACTAATTCTTAAATCCAATCCTCACAGGAAGTGGTAACTATCTCAGTTTTACAGATGTGGAAAATGAGACCTGGAAGGGTTAAGTGACTTGTCTTGGAGTAGTCAGTGGCAATGTCAGGATTAGAACTAGAGTGCTTGACTCTCAGTCCCATGGGAAATATGAGACAAAGATTATATGAGTTGTCAGAGGCCAAATAATGAATCAGTGACAGAACTGGGATTAGCCCTAAAGTTTGTCTGTTGAACATGTTAATAGTACTTGGCACATTATGGTTGGTGGGTCAAAGTGCTTGACAGGCTAACATTTGTAATGATAGCATTGTAAAGAGGATCTCATTTGGAACACTTTCTGGAAGAATGTTGTTCTATTACCCTTTATGAAGGAGAGAGAAAAGACACAATTCAAACCACTTTCTGTTAGGTACTGTACAAACATGAATAGACTTGGTCCTCTCCCGTAGAGTTTTAACTGACAGATTCTTTGTCCTCAGGCTAGCAAATCTTCCCTCCCCAGCACCTTAATATTTTTAAAGTGACTTGTCCAAGAATAACCTGGATGTCCGATTTGGTTGTCCCTCAAGAATATAATTAGTTTTTTCCTAGCATGATTAGCCACATGCACTGTTCCTGAAGCGTAGTCTGAGGCTTAACTGGCTAAGTGGCGCCAGAGGAGGGATTTAGCAAAGCAGTTGAGGCAGGCAGGTATAATATACTTATGTAGATCAGTGACATTTACAAGGAAATTGTCACTTCATCCTCAGGTTGGACATAGGAATCAGTCAGTGCATCCAAGAATTATTGAAGTGTAGGTCAGCAGGTTGTGAACAAGGCAGCAATTACATTTCACTTGTCTAAACTGTTTTTGGCTTTCTTGGGATGCGGGACAACAGAATTTGACCTGGCCTGTTGTCCCATTAATGTTGAAACATATTTTGACATTTTCAGAACAGAATATTTATATATTTTGTTTCAAAACAACTTTGACGGTTTTTTAAAATATTCTAAATAAGATTTAAAATGCCAAACTTGGAATATAACATCTAAACAAAACACTTTGACCTGAAATTAATTTTTTTTTCCAGAATTTTGTTTTGTGGGAAATTTCTAAATTTATTTTTGTTCTGTCTCAAATAAAAAAAAAATATTTTTCCAGGGAACAGAGAATCTAGTTCCCACCCAACTCTAAAATTAAATATGATCTCCTGAACTATCTGAAAGATTATTAGAGTGTTGTGTATAGAAAGATGGTCACAAAATACATTATTTCCTATCTGCATTCTCTTCCTATAGTGTTTAAAATAACGGTAAGTTTGTTCTGAAGTTTGTTTATATCTGAATATCTGATCAGAAACACTTCTCTTTATTAAACAAAAATTACAAGGGAAAACAGATAGAAGTGTACTTACAAACTCCATTCTCCCAAATGATGCCCAATTGTTATCTTAGATAGGTACCGTAAGTAAAACAATAAGACACATGTCCTTTGGATGATCACTACTGTTTTGAATTTCAGTTCTTAAAGTTAAATTGCCTTACCTGACTAATTAATTTAGTAATCTTTCTTAAATGAAAAAACTTTTTTTTTGTAGGCCTTCCATTTCAGATGACTTAAAAGTAGGCTATTTTATCACAGATCATGCCACTCAAACAGATATCAAAGAAATAATAGAACTAAAGGAGCTTACTACTACTACACAAGCCCTAGTACAGGTAAGAGAGCTTCTTGGATATGTCTCAAGATATTCTTCACCATGTTGTAGGAAAAATCCTCTGTCAAAGTCATCTTTACCCTTTGTTATTTTCTGTCCTGTTATGGTTGTTTCATTTAAGCTTACATAAATATGCCAATAACTCACATTTATATTAAATAGGAATAGCTGAATAAAAGACTAGACAGTTTGGTTACACTCATCAGAGTGTGAAGATTGATCCATGTGAAGATTGAACAAACATATAAAAAAAGAAAAAGTTTAAACATGGTGAGCAGAGAATGCACATAAGTGAAGACTTTACAACTTAAACAGTAAACCTTTATATTAATGCCCAGGACTCTAGAAGAGAAGTTTAGCACTGGAATAAATAGGCCCAGCTCCATTAATACTATCTGTGAATTTGGTGATGTATTTATGTATATTGTGACATACCCAGACCAGTGGGGTACAGGAGTCTGGTAGAGGGCAAATATACTGGTCACTGGATGAGTAGTTTTCTGTTCCCTGAGTGACCAGAGCAGGGGCTGCACTAGAGTAATCAGGAATCTGCTAGAACCAGTTAAGGCAGGCAGGCTAATTAGGACACCTGGAGCCAATTAAGAAGAAGCTTCTAGAATCAATTAAGGCAGGCTAATCAGGGCACCTCGGTTTTAAAAAGGAGCTCACTTCAGTTTGTGGTGCGAGTGTGAGGAGCTGAGAGCAAGAGGTGCAAGGAGCTGAGTGTGTGCACTGCTGGAGAACTGAGGAGCACAAGTGTTATCAGACACCTGGAGGAAGGTCCTGTGGTGAGAATAAGGAAGGTGTTTGGAGGAGGCTATGGGGAAGTAGCCCAGGAAGTTGTAGCTGTCATGCAGCTGTTACAGGAGGCACTATAGACAGCTGCAGTCCACAGGGCCCTGGACTGGAACCCGGAGTAGAGGGCGGGCCCGGGTTCCCCCCAAACCTCCCACTTGACCTGGACTGTGGGTTCTTCCAGAGGGGAAGGTCTCTGGGCTGTTCCCCAGCCCCCATGGTGAATCTCTGAGGCAAGAAAATCCACCAATAAGCGCAGGACCCACCCAAGATAGAGGAGGAACTTTGTCACAATATACAGGAAAGTAGCTTGTATAAAATAGTGCCATACCCTTACTTTAAAAAGATTATAAAACAATTATGTGATGAATTAAATAGGAATATAATATTCAAATCAACTTGGTAGAGAAAGGTTGATTGTAACTAAGGTCTTCTTTCAGTTTGCAATTGTGATTTTTGGTAGAAGCACCAATATTTAAAATATTTAAAAATAAAATATTTGGATAAAAACATTTAATGGATCAAAGCAAGTTCAATCTAACGCGGTTTCACCTATAACACGGTAAGATTTTTTTTTTTTGGCTCCCGAGGATAGCGTTATATCAAGGTAGAGGTGTAGTATGAAGAAAGTTACTGAGATATCCCTATTTATTATTTTTTCACATTTTTCATTCATTTAAAATGCTACAAATTTAAAACTGAGGGAAGGAGATACTTTATGATTAAGTCTGTGAGTCTGTCACGAAAGTCACGGAATCCGTGACTTTCCGGGACTTCCCTGAGTTCTGCAGCAGCAGTGGGGGTCCTGGGGCCATGTGCCACTGCCCACTCCCTGGGCTGCACTGGCAGCAGACCAGGCCATGTGTCGCTGCCTCCCCCACCCGCTGCGGGGTCCCAGGCTGCCCACTGCCACCTGCCCCCCACCCGTGGCACCCCCGGGCTACCCACCCGCCCCCTTCCCCAGAGCACCCAGGATTTAGTCAGGGGTATATAGTACAAGTCATGGACAGGTCACGGGCCATGAATTTTTGTTTCTGCCCATGACATCTTTATGACTTTTTTACTATAAATACCTATGACATAAATAAGGCTATGTTTTAAATACAATGCATTAACCTGCTGTGATTATTGCGGAAGACTATTGCACCAAATAGCCAGTAAGTTTTAAAATGATTTTATATAATTATCAAACAGTGCTTTGCTCTTATTTTGATCAAGTCTGTTCGTGTTTCTGATAGAAATTGTTTATTTCAATCTTACATGAACACAAAGGTGCATAGCACGTGAGTGCCTTTATAATACCACTGCCGCAACTTTTAGTTGTAACCCTCTTATTCTCCTGATTCTTCTGTCATTCAAAATGTTAACTTTTCTTATTAAGTAGTAGTGTTCTTTAGTCAGTCAACTGAATTATCACAATCATGCCTTCTTACATTTTAAGCACTGTAAGAACATAAATAAGAACGGCCATATTGGTCAGACCAATGATCCATCTAGCTCATTATCCTGTCTTTTGACAGTGGCTGGTGCCAGGTGCTTCAGAGGGAATGAACAGAACAGGGCAATTATCAAGTAGTGTAGAAGTTCTGTTACACTGTTTTAAATACAAATGATTTGATTCCATGAGTATTTATTCATTTTAAGAGGAAGTTCAAATTAATTACTCACTGTCATCCTTGGGCTTTTGTGACTCTGTTCTCTCTTAATTCTCCTAAATTTTGGATCATTCCTTGAGAGTCTCATTCAGTAGAACTTCTTTCTTTCTTTCTTTCTGTTCAAGCCCCGTAGACTCCATTCTTGGCCCCCTCCTCCTTTCACTCTGTTTGTGTGACCTCCACTGCCAGCTAAGATTTGACTATCATCTTCATGCTGATGACTCACAAATACAACTCCCTACTTTGAATTTATCTCCTTCCATCCAAACTAAACTCTTAGCCTGTCTTTCTGACATCTCCTAGTGTGTGTCCAGCTAACAAATTAAATATAACATGGCCAAAACTGAGCTCCTGAACTTTCCTCCAAAGCCCCCTCCACTCACTCCTTTCTCTATCACATTAGACAACATCACCGTATTCCCTGTTGTTTAAGCCCTTAATGTATTGGCTTTTGCTTTGACTTAGGCCTTTTTCTTTGATCCATACAGTGGGGGGGCAGAAATGGGAGGTGGGGGGGAGCGGAAGCTAGTGCTTCTGCAGTGGAAATATTGTGGGGGCTCCTCTCCCATATAAAAACATGCATGTGTGAAGGGGTGGATGTGAGCGTGGGACCTGGAGGAGCTGAAGTGGCCGCGTCCGTGCCTAGGATTGGGCCAGAGAGCAGGAAGGAACAGCTGGGACCCTCTTTCCAGCCTGGAGTTCGCTGCCCACTCCCATCCCCCACAGAGTCTCAGTAGCTCTCTTTAATCCCACTCCTATCCCTCCACCCCACTGTTGCCAGCCCAAAAGGGCCCGAGGAGGCAGCAGCGGGGTTCGTTGCCTGGTGTGCTTCGCACTAATAGACACATCAGGTGTGGAGAAGCAAAACAACTTTATTCAAGAACTCTGAATAGGCACTAGGAGACCAACATGTCTCAAATCAAGCGCAGCAAATACAAGCAAGTTTTCCCTTTTATATTCCAAGCAGTTTCTGTACAGGCTTTGTCTGTCTGTTACTTTTCCCCCTACCCCTCCTTCCCCGCCCTCCTCAAGCAGTTACAGTTAGGAAAATTCCCATTCGTCTGCTTATCTTTGACCTTGTTAGTATGAACGAAACAGCAGCTATCTGCTAGAAAAGCTGACCATTACATTACTGCTTTAGCCTGCTTCAGCATGTAAGCAGTTAGCATAGAAGTAGGTGAAAGTTCACAAGATGGAGTCACTGTGGCTCACTTAGACCCAGAGCAAAGGAGTTTCATCGGCACTTATGGCCTTCCACTCCCCTGAGTTACCTGGTAGCTATGCCTAGTGACACCAACACCACCATTGACAGAGAGCTTTCACCCCCACCATCCCTCCCACACACATCCAGGCCACTTCTAAATCTTACAGCTTCTTCTTGCACAGTATCTACGAGATCTGACCTTTTCTTCCTGCCCACACTACCAACATTATTTCCCAAGCCCTGATTATGTAGCACCTTGACTACTGCAATCTCCTCCTCTCTGGCCTGTAAGTCTACAACCTCAGCTCTCTCAAGTCCATTCAAAATGCAATCACTAAGATCAACTTGGCTCATTGCTCTGACTATATCATCCCCCCTTTTAATTCCTTTTCATTGAATCCATAATGCTAATTTCTTATCCTTACTTTTCAAAGCATTTGACAATTTAGTCTTATCCTTCCTGTCCTCCTCTAAATCCCTCCTCAAAACTCGTCTCTGCCTTAGAGCGTACAGAAACTGCAACCTAATATGGCTAAGCAGTGGCAAGTTTTGACCACAGCTATGGAATGGCTAAAAATTGCATACATCTTATTACATGTGGTACTCTGTCTCCCCCACCGTCTGTTGTGGCCTTCTCGTTTGTTTCGTTCCCCTATTATAGCTTGTCTTTTAGACTGGAAGCTCTTTGAGGCAGGAGCTGTTATTTAATATGTTGTGCGTACCACTATGGGACCCAGCCTGGCTGTGACTTTTAGGCACTATGACAAAATAAATGTTGTTAATAATGTTGTATCTGCAATTATACTAGTATAGGTAGAATATATGACTATCATTTGGCCAGATCCACAAAGGCGCCTAAGTGAGAAATGCAAGTCCTTAAGTCCAAAATTTAAGTACCGCTGAGATCCTTAAAACCCCTGTTCAGCTGCTGTCTAACTCTGGAGGTGCCTAAAATTCCTGAGCACCTAATTTTTTTTTTCTGTAAAAGTCCCAGGAGCCTAAGTTTCTGCTCCAGGACATGCACCCAGATACCTGTCATTTCTAACCCCCTGTGCTATCCTCTAACAGGTGAAGATAGGTGTTGCCCTGCCTATCCTGCCAGTAGGTGTTTTCAGAGCACGCCTAATTCCACCCAAAGTGGCAGACATATAATTGCAGTATTATGAATCTGATTCTTCCATACCATAAGGTGCTTGCAGTATTATTGATGCCAGTCTTTGCTTTTTAACATCCCACAGAAATGATCATATGATGCAATGATCATGTTCCTGATAAAGCATGTGACAGAGATTCAGTGGTGACATTGAGAATACAACACATAATTTATGTTTTCATAACTGTTTATAATTTGTTTCACCCTACAGAGACAATTACAGTTTGCTTTATGTAATTAAGTTGTTTGATTTTTGTCAATACATTTTCTGATAGAGTATTTTGTAATCCTCTGTTTAGAAGGATGCCAAGGTATTTCAGTCAACAAAATTGCCACTCCTCCAATGTCTTAAATAAACAGAATAATTAAAGCACAAATACTTTCTGATTAGTTTATTTTGTATCAGCAGGGAAGATTATAGAAAAAATGTCCTTTTGTAGTGTATATGTAATATCAGTCTTTACATTTTTAGTTCACGGACTCCATCCAGGAAGATTTTATGATCTATAAAAATATCCTTCAAGCACAATATGAGGAAAAAATACAAGAGCAGGCTTCGAATCTCTGTAGACAGATAAATGACAGACTGAGAGACATAGAAGCTTTTCATAAACAGGTACAGAGTACCCTATCTAAAATGTCAATTTCTCATTCATTTACCCTCTATATTTGGGCAGATTATTGATACGTAATAATATAAAATAAAATTAATCCACAAATATGTTGATTAATATGAATGTGGATTTCCAAAGATTTGCAGTTTAAAAAGTAGTGGGTAGTTGTATGGAAAACATCTACCTATAAACATATGTAAAAATGTTTACAAAAACATCTTAACATTTAGTAACAAACGTGCTATAATAGTGAGAACTTTCAACGTTAATGTCCTTTTAATTTATAGGTCTAAGATTTAACCTACTTCTTTTCTTGTGTTTATAAAGTCCAGGCAGTTCTTTATGTATGTATTATCTTCCAAAATAAATGCTTTAACACTCTTTTTGTTAACAAACCAAACTAATTGCCAATGTCCTAGTGCTCATGGAGAACCGTACAGTAACTGTCCAGTGCATGCTTATGCATGGGAAGAAACCGTAAAGGAAGGGGGTTTAGTTTTAAGCTTCCAAGATATCAGTATGAACAATAAATAATAAAATTTTAAAATTGATAAATGTATGTCTTTTTAAACATTTTCAGATGTACAGTCCTTGTACATATTTTTAAATATATTGGTTGCATTTCGAGTATTTCCTTTAAAAAGATTTAGTAATCATTTTGTTTCTTTTCAACAGCATGTATGTGTCTAAAGTACTTTGGAACCCATTTATATAAAAATGTATAAAATAGAATTATTTAGCAAAATGTGGAAATGAGAGATCGTTATACACCAGTGATATAAATAACAAAGGGACAGAAAAGTTATAGGGGCACTGGCTCATTAACTTTTTCCCCAGAACAGCGGATTTGGACAACATTTTGATTTTGTTCAGTGGAAAAACAATAAAAACTAATGGTTGGTTTGAGAGTAGCGGCCGTGTTAGTCTGTATCCGCAAAAAGAACAAGAGTACTTGTAGCACCTTAGAGACTAACAAATTTATTAGAGCATAAGCTTTCGTGGACTACATATATTAATAAGAACTAATGTTTTTCTTTAAGTCCAATATAACTGTTTCAGTAATCCATTAAAAATTTGAATTGCAGAAAGAAGTCAAAATTCGACAAAGCTATCAACAGCAGCTATGTGATGCACTTGCTGTTCTCAGGGTAGATTATGAGGTGGGTTTTAACTATAATTATTTTTTTTCAGTATAACATTGATTTGAAGAGTGGTATAACGTTATTTACAGGCTACAGCGTTTTGAGTGCCGGTGCATTGTCAAAGCTGGAAAAAATAGAATATGATACAGCTGTTTGGTGAATGTGTCATATTAAGATTAAGCATTCCAAAAACAATATATTGAATAGGAATAGAAAAAAATACATTATGTAAAAATATTTGAATGACTTTAGCAACAACAATTAGTTCCTCTGCTGCTGAAAAGCCTGACCGTGCATTGACTTCAAGGTACACAGGTAATGCAGAATTGGGCCCAAATAGTTGGTTAGAGCTTAATCCTGCAAGCTTCTGAGGATTGAAGAAAGAGGTCTGAGAAAATCAGGGTAGCCTCTTAAAGGATGGAATCTTTGGAAAACCAACTTTAGCTTTAATTCACAAAATGAATACATCTGAAAAAGGAATAATTAAAATTATTTAAATCTTTAACATATTGTGTCTTCTAATAAAGGAAGTTCAGATTCTTCCATTTTTACAGCCTATTAAATTGGTGTTGTAACCACAGATCAGAAAAGAAAAATCAGTGCATGTGAATGAAAAGAAAAATCCACTCGTATGACTAGCTCTGTTACATAATACAAGTGTGATAATCAGAGAAAATATTGTATGTGGTGCAGCAGATAAAATAAAAGCTTCCTGGTGCATTTTGCAGTGTTGTAGCTGTGTTGGTCCCAAAATATTAGAGACACAAGGTAAGTGAGGTAATATCTTTTATTTTTGTCCTATTACTGCAGAGGTGTAACAGGCCACTTCACATTGAATGGTTTCTTACAATATGCGTTAACTACTTATGCTAAACAATGTGTTCCACCTTGTATTTAATTATGATACTCTGAGTACCTTTCCCAGACCTGAATAAGACTCTATAAAGTTAGAAAGCTTGTCTCTTTCATCAACAGAAGTTGCTCCAATAAAAGGTATCACCTCACCAATTCCACTCTCAAACTGTCATTGCAGACAAAGTGGTGACTGACCATAAGTAACCTAAATCAATTTTTTTCAGTGAGATGAAACTTGGGGGTATGCACGACAAATCAGACTCCTTAAAGGGGTACAGTAGTATGGAAAGGTTGGGAGATCTTGACCTAAATGACATTCTACTGCCCTCTAGAGACTGTAGTTAAAGATCTGAGATATCAAACCAATTCTCATTTCACAAATTTCTAGACGTCATTTTACCAGTAAGAATAATTCCTGCCAGGAAGTTATTGAACTTTGATTTGCAGATAAAGAAAAAATTAAATGTGATTGTTTTCTGTAATGATGACAAAAAAAAAAAAAAAGTACAGTATTTTCAAAATCTTTTTTATGATCGCTTTATAATGGATGTGCGTAGGACACAGGACAATATTTTTAACTGTAATTGTTTATTTTATATATTAGTACTGTTGTCAGATGCTACTGGTGTGGTGCTTCTGCTAGTGTTGTCAGATGCTAGCGGTGTGGTGCTTCTGCTTTCTCCTGTTGATATCACTCAGCTGCATGAATGTGTTCCCTCTGCGTGCTGCCCCAGCTCTGCGCAGATAGCTGACACAGCAAACCCGACGAGAACCCCCAATAATCACAGAGTCTAGTAAGGTACAAAGGCACCTCGGTCAGGTTTATTGTGATCTCCGACACAATTGCAGTTCCCTGTAGGTTTCTGAGCCTAATTAAGGGCATACTACGAGAAAGTGCCTCTTGGCAAGGACCCGGCTCAGTGGCGGGACTTTCCACTGCCCCCGTGGCTGGACAAAGACACCACCCCAGGGATACATGTTTGTACCTGTGTATAAAAAAGTTACACATCACTCCTGACGTATTGAGGTGCAACCCCTCTACGTAGCAAGGTACAACCCCTCTACGCAGTAAGGTGCTACCTCGCACCTTGTACCTGTTGGTTCGATCAAAACAACTCTATCCATCATTTTACCCTTTTGCCCCTGTCATTGGGATGGGTCGGCCTGTTCCCTGTTATCTGTGGAATGTTCCTGTATAGTGTATCTTGGTACCATGTTTATACTGTAACTATGCTAAATGAATATATATTTATGCAACATCAGCCCTTTCCTTGCCAACTTCTGTGAGCAGGGCCTGCCTCTTGCTCACAGCTTAACTTTGCTTCATATTAGCAAAGTCTTGACCATTACTTTAGTTTGGTTCAGGCCTCATACTGGGCCTTCATTAGGCCTTCACTTACTACAAGTACATATTTATGCATAAAATAGCACAGTCAGGTGCAGGTGGATAGCAGCAAGTGGATAGCATAGCACAGGGAGCATCGTGGCAAACAGTAATGGAAAACAATCTGGAAAAGGCAAATTTTGGGGAGATATTTAAAGGGGAGGAGGAAGAATGTATGGTTACAAGAGGATGAAGACTCTTCGAGGCATATAGAGGGACATGGAAGACTGTGCAGTTGTGAATGAAATCAAGTCATTTAGGAAGTGGAGTGTACAGAGAGTAGTACAGAGGAAGGTGAAGAGGAGGAAAGAAGAGCAGTCATAAAGAGAAGTGGAGATCCAAAATCCTGAGAATGAGGCATTTGAATATGATGTGAAAGGAGACACGAACTTGGGACATGAGAAGAAGATGTTTGCATCAATGGGTTAGATAGCTTAAAGGAAAGCAAGGGGAGAATCAGGGATCCAGGAAGGAGGATGCTATGTTAGTGGAATTTTTAGCAGTGGGAAAAGATAGTTGTTGTAGAGATAGAAGTGACACAATTTAGCAACAGCCTGGATATTTTAAGGTGGAGTAGAGACAGACAGTTTGTGTCTCTCCTGCACCATGTCTGGACAATAATATGAAGTGCCATCATCTGAAAAATGAAACTGCTACAAAGTCAAGTACAAAATATTTAAAGTTTCTACAAGAGCCACAAAATCTGCCCTAATGGTGATTTCAACATGGCAGTTGTAAGCAGCGCTGGCTCCAGGCACCAGCTTAACAAGCAGGTGCTTGGGGCGGCCAAGAGAGAGGGGCGGCACCTGCGGCAATTCGGGGGCAGCAGGTCCCTCACTCCCTCTAGGAGCAAAGGACCTGCCACTGAACTGCTGTCGCTGCCACTCGTGGTCTTTTTTTTTTTTTTGCTTGGGGCGGCAGAAATGCTGGAGCCAGCCCTGGTTGTAAACAGTTCCAACCTTTCCTTCTAGAGGTACTTGAAAAGAATCCTCTTTAAAGTACTATATTTTATGGACTATATGAACAAACTGGCCAGGTACACAGGAAAAGCCCCGGGAACTTTTGAATTTCATTTCCTGTTTGGCCAGCATGGCAAGCTGATCAGCACAGGTGACTGTGCAGATCTCATCAGCAGAGGTGACCATGGAGTCCCAGAATAGCAAAAGAGCTCCAGCATGGACTGAACGGGAGGTACTGGATCTGATCGCTGTATGGGGAGATGAATCCGTGCTATCCCAATTCTGTTCCAAAAGACAAAATGCCAAAATATTTGAAAAAATCTCCAAGGGTATGAAGGACAGAGGCTATAACAGGGACCCACAGCAGTGCCACGTGAAACTTAAGGAGCTGAGGCAAGCCTACCAAAGAGGCAAACGGCTGCTCCGGGTCAGACCTCCAGACATGCCGCTTCTTTGATGAGCTGCATGCAATTCTAGGGCGTGCCCCCACCATTACCCCACCACTGTTCGTGGACTCCTGCAAGGGGGGAGTCTCACGCAACAGGGATGAGGATTTTGGAGATGAGGATGATGATAGCTCACAGCAAGCAAGCGGAGAAACGGTTCTCCCCAACAGCCAGGAACTGTTTATCACCGTGGAGCCAATACCCTCCCAAGGTGGGCTCCCAGACCTTGAAGGCAGAGAAGGGACCTCTGGTGAGTGTACCTTTGTAAATATAATACATGGTTTAAAAGCAAGCGTGTTTAATGATTAATTTTCCCTGAAGACTTGGGATGCATTTGCGGCCAGTACAGCTACTGGAAAAGAGATTTTGGGGGGGGGGGGGGTTAGTTGGGTTTCTGCTGCACGTTAACCTGAAAACCGCAGCTCCTCCTTTTAAATGGCCAACCCAACACAGGTGCTTGGTATGGGAAATGAGGGTGCTGCTGTTTGAAACCATTCCCACATGTTATGAAGGTTAAAGAGGAAGGGATAGCTCAATGGTTTGAGCATTGGCCTGCTAAACCCAGGGTTGTGAGTTCAATCCTTGAGCGGGGCCACTTAGAGGTCTGGGGCAAAATCAGTACTTGGTCCTGCTAGTGAAGGCAGGGGGCTGGACTCGATGACCTTTCAGGGTCCCTTCCCGTTCTATGAGATAGGTATATCTCCATATATTATAAAGAAGCCAAAAGCCTGTGACTTACCATGGCTGCCTGCAAGCCGAATTCTGTTGCCCGGCCCTGCGTGTGTGATCTCTCATACCAAAATGGCAGGCCCTCAATATAAGAGGCAAAATGCGACCTTGTACTCTAAAATGTGTCTTTTTAAATACTACTCTCCCCTTTTTTCCCCTCCTGCCATGGCAAATGTTTCAACGCTCCCCTAGAGGCTAGTGCAGATAAGAAGGCAAAAAAACACACTTGTGATGAAAATGTTCTCTGAGCTCATGCAGTCATCCCGCACTGAAAGAACTCAGCAAAATGCATGGAGGCACATAATGTCAGAGTTCAGGAAAGCACAAAATGAACGCGAGGACAGGAGGCGGAAGCAAGAGGAGAGGTGGCGGGAGCAAGATGATAGGTGGTGGCAATGTGATGAGAGGAGGCAGGATGCAATGCTGAGGATCAAACTGATGTGTTCCAGCGTATGGTTTGAGCTGCAGGAAAGGCAGGAGGAACACGGACTGCTGCTTCAGCCCCTATGTAACAGACTGCTCACCTCCCCAGGTTCCATAGCCTCCTCACCCAGACACCCAAGAACACTGGGTGGGGAGGCTCCGGGTACCCAACCACTCCACCCCAGAGGACTGCCCAAGCAACAGAAGGCTGGCATTCAATAAGTTGTGAAGTGCAGTGTGGCCTTGTCCTTCCCTCCTCCCCCACCCCACCCGGTGCTTCCCTTCTCCCCCATCCCTCCCAGGCTACCTTGGCAGTTATCCCCCTATTTGTGTGACAAATTAATAAAGAATGCATGAATCTGAAACAACAATGACTATTGCCTCTGCAAGTGGTGATCGAAGGGGGTAGGGAGGGCAGTTGTTTTATAGGGAAGTAGAGTGAACCAGGGGGGTGGGTTTTTATCAAGGAGAAACCAACAGAACTTTCACACCATAACCTGGCCAGTCATGAAACTGGTTTTCAAAGCTTCTCTGATGTGCAGCGCGCGCCCTGCTGTGCTCTTCTAACCGCCCTGGTGTCTGGCTGCACGTAATCAGCAGCCAGGCAATTTGCCTCAACCTCCCACCCTGCCATAAACGTCTCTTCCCCCTTACTCTCACAGATATTGTGGAGCACACAGCAAGCAGTAATAACTATGGGAATATTGGTTTCGCTGAGTTCTAACCAAGTCAGTAAACTGCGCCAGCATGCTTTTAAATGTCCAAATGCACATTCTACCACCATTCTGCACTTGCTAAGCCTATAGTTGAACAGCTCCTGACTACTGTCTAGGGTGCCTGTGTATGGCTTCCTGTCTCGATTGATAGCTAATTTCTCCATGTTGGCCGTCATGGGCTATCAATCGAGACAGGAGTGCAGAATGGCAGCAGAAGCGGCGGATGATGACGGCCATATAGAGGACCTGCGAAGTGGATTCATGGCACCAGGAGGGCAGAATGGCAGCGGAAGCGGCGGATGACGACGGACATATAAAGGCGGATGCTATGAGAATAGATATTTATTCTGAACGATGAGAGGATCTGCAAGGTGGATTCATGGCACCAGGAGAGCAGAGTGGCAGTGGAAGCGGTCATTTGATGATGACAGTTAGCAGATCTACTGCACAGTCTGCTGAAAGCAATATGGCGCCCGCACAGCAAAAAGGCGCAAAATGATTGTCTGCTGTTGCTTTCACGGAGGGAGGGGCGACTGCCGACATGTACCCAAAAGCACCCCCGACAATGTTTTTGCCCCATCAGGCATTGCGAGCTCAACCCAGAATTCCAATGGGCGGTGGAGACTGCGGGAACTGTGGGATAGCTACCCCAGTTCAACGCTTCGGAAGTCGACGCTAGCCACGGTACTGTGGATGCACTCCGCCGACTTAATGTGCTTAGTGGGGACACACACAATCGGCTGTATAAAATCGCTTCGTAAAAAATCAACTTTTCTATAAATTCGACCTAATTTCATAGTGTAGACATACACTATGTCAGAGCAATAAGTTACATTTAACTACCACCTATTGGGTAATAATTAGAGCTGTCAAGCGACTAAAAAAATGAATCACGATTAATTGTGTGATTAAAAAAATGAATCTTGATTAATCACACTCTTAATAATAGAATACTATTTATTAAATATTTTGGATATTTTATACATTTTCAAATATATTTATTTCAATTATTACACATACTACAAAGTGTACTGTGCTCACTTTATATTTATTTTTGATTTAATTGCACTGTAGAAAAACAAAAGAAATAGTATTTTTCAGTTTGCACTACAGTACTTGTAATAGGTAATCTCTTTATCATGAAAGTTTAATTTACAAATGTAGAATTATGTACAAAAACCCCTGCATTTAAAAATCAAACAATGTAAAATTGTAGAGAGTCTGCAAGTCCACTCAGTCCTACATCTTGTTCAGTCAGTCACTCAGACAGACAAGTTTGTTTACACTTGCAGGAGATAAGGCTGCCCGCTTCTTGTTTACAATGTCACCTGAAAGTGAGAACAGGCATTCTCATGACCGTTTTGTAGCTGGTGTCGCAAAGTACAGAAGCTCCCTGACTTACACAAGCGTTCCATTCCGGAACGCCTTGTGTAAGTCGATTTTTGCGTAAGTCAGGAAATTGTTCTCCTTAATCTCTAAGGACAGGACAAGAAGCAATGGGCTTAAATTGCAGCGGAGGAAGATAGGAAGTTTTTCCTAATGTCCAACCTAACTGTCAGGGTAGTTAAGCACTGGAATAAATTGCCTAGGGAGGCTGTGGAATCTCCATAATTGGAGATTTTTAAAAGTAGGTTAGCCAAACACCTGTCAGGGATGGCCTAGATCAGTGGTTTTCAAACTTTTTTTTTTCTGGCAACCTAGTTGAAGAAAATTGTTGATGCCCATGACCCAACAGAGCTGGGTATGAGAGGTTTGGGATGCAGGAGGGGCACAGGGCTGGGGCAGAGGGTTGGGATGAGGGCTGTGGGGTGGGGCCGGGAATGAGGGGTTCAGGGTGCGGGAGGGGGCTCGGGGCAGGGGGTTAGTGTGCCGGAGGGGCTCTGGGCTGAGGGTGCAGGCTCTGGGGTGGGGCCGGGAATGAGGTGTTGGGGTGCAGGAGAGGGCTCAGGGCTGGGGCAGGGATGGGAACGTGGGGTTGGGAGCCTTACCTCCAGTGGCTCTCGGTCAGCGGTGCAGCCGGGGTGCAGAGGCAGGCTTCCCGCCTGTCCTGGCACCGTGGACTGCACTGCGCCCTGGAAGTGGCCAGCAGCAGGACCGGCTCCTAGGTGGAGGCGTGCAAGTGACTCCACGCAGCTCTCGCCTGCAGGCACCACCCACCCCAGTGCAGAGCTGGTGCTCAGGGCAGGGGCAGCGGATAGAGCCCTGTGGCCCCCCTGCCTAGAAGCCGGACCCGCTGCTGGACGCTTCCAGGGCGCAGTGTGGTACCTGTACAGGTAGGCACTAGCCTGCCTTAGCCGGGCAGCACCACCGACGGGACTTTTAATGGCCTGGTCAGTGGTGCTGACCAGTGCCGCCGCGACCCAGTGCCTTACAGTCTGCGACCCAGTACTGGGTCACGACCTGCAGTTTGAAAACCACTGATCTAGATAATACTTAGTCCTGCCATGAGTGTAGGGGACTGGACTAGATCAGCTCTCAAGCTCCCTTCCAGTCCTATGATTCTATGATAACAGTGCAAAATTAAATTGAATGTCACATTAACTGTACATTTTTCATGTTAGAGATGTATTAAAATATATAGGCTGTATTCATTGTGTCCGTTGTCAAGCTATCTGGAGTGGCTCATGAGCATGAGTGCCAGCCTCGGGGTAGACTGTCAAGGAACAGGGCATAAACCCCAAACTGGCTGTATGGTCTATAATTAGATTTCACCAACCAATTAATAAGTGTGAACTCTTAAAGAACTAGAAGAGTCTTAATATGGAATAACAGTCCCCTTGGGCACTCTGTTCTGTCTTGCCTCCCAGGCAAACCTGCCTTTGTGATATATGATCCCCTTTGCCAAAAATCACAACAATATTCAGGTTATTGCCAGTCCCAAAGGACTAGTCACATACCCCAGGTCAACTGTACCTCAGATCACAAACCAAAGACAATGCTTGTATCCAATTCTAAAATACTAATTCAAGATTTATTAACTAGGAAGAAGAAATGTTATTTACAAGGTTAAAGATATGATACTGTCTTATGTTCCAAAAGATGATGATAGCTGCTTTAATATGAAAGCTTTATATGTCCTTTAGGGCTAACCCGAGCTAAACCACTAGGGACCCTTTGCTTATGCTTAGAAATCATCGCTTCTCAGAGTTCAAGCAGCATAAGGATAATAATTTTTCCTTAACAGGGATTTTTATTACTTTCCCACAGCAAGGGCTTGTGCACGTACCCTCTTCAGAGAGGTGGGGAAAGCAATCAACAGAGTCTTTAATCTGCTGTTCCACAACACCTTGTCTGGTGTGTATAGACCTTTTGTTCGGGGAGGAGATAATATCTCTTTTGGTAAACTAGTATTTCGTGCTTAGTAGTGCTTCTCCCTTTACTGTCAGGGCTTACAGTCTTAAACATTTTTATAGTTACAGAGCAGACACTTAAACACTACCTTATAACATGACATACAAATATTAGAAGTATGATTAATACATGCAGCATCCTACAAGCATCCCATAAAGTCTAAACACATTCTTATAACTCTAATATCTATTTTAACAATGCTAACACAAAGGCAAGCCAGACTGATTTCCAGTTATGCATTTGTCCGTGTCAAGTGAGGCCCAGTGGCCTTGGCATGAGCTTGCACCTGATCTGCCAGTGTCTCATCCATCTTTTTTGTTCTTTTTCTGTATGTTTTACTTTATATGCATTTTCTTGTATGATTATTCTGAAAATACCATTTTGTTTCTGTACTTGAAATGCGGTTAAATGTTCTAATGAAAAGCTAATCACATTCAACAGGACTACAGAACTTAATGTTTAATAATAGTGTCATGAAGTTACAACAAAAGTATCCTGGAATTCTGTAACTTTAAGAAAAAGTGCCGTGTGATTTATATAACTAGCATATCTCACTAGAGGATCTTCTCTTGTAACAGAAAAATTATCGCATACAGGAAGATACAGATTCCTCATTAGCAGCGAGTTGGAAGGTTTTGATTAAGACGCTCCAGGAGAAAGAGTCTAAAATTCAAAAATTAGAAGCAGAATTACAAGAATATCAGGAAAATGAAGATACAAAAATGGTAGGTTTTTTGTAAAAAAAAAAAAATCATGAATTTATTCTTTGAACATGTTTATTTACTGTAGTAGCATTTCCTAGTCTCATTATAAGGGTATAGGAAACTAGCTAGAAAACCTGTTCAAGAATTTTCTTGCACTTAGGGGGCTACATTCTTAGCTGGTGTAAATTGATGTAACTCCGACTACATGGAAACTACACCTGCTGAGGTTCTGTCCCAGTGCTGGCAATTATACCCCATAGTATTTTTTCCCCTTCAAATTCTTGTCTAAATAGTTGCTCTTATTATTACTTTTAGCTGTTTATTCTAAATATGAACTCCTCAGGTAAGGAAATTCCACCTATATTCTGTTAGTACCCACTCTTACACATAGACAATTTAAACTAAGTATCTGTCACCTGTTAAATAACCCCAACTCAGATAAATACTTGGCATGCCTCTCTTGGTTTTTTCTTCAAGATTATGGAGATCAGTAAAATCAACTCATCAGTACTTCAACTACTAAAATCACTTGAGACTCTTCCTTTTTAATTGTTTTTATTAATTCCTGCAGTAAAGTTTAAACAATGTAATCATTATTTGGGTATAACCATCAGTAGGCATTGGAGGCCTTTTTCAGGGGTAAGCCTTTTCAAACTAAAAATGCTTTGTGAAAACTAGTTATGGTTGCTAAAGAACAATCATAATATTCAAAAATTGGAAATACAGCATACGGCCATGTACGTACGTACATATGTTATCTTCTCACACGTCAGCACCCAGAGATACAACCTTGTCCATTTCCTTAGCAAATTAACCCTACTCAATCACAGCCTGATGAAAAGGGAGAACTCCACAACACCTCAAAACATATGCTGTGGATTTAATCCACTTGTGAGGAAAGGTGACATTTTTGAAGAAAAGAAGTTAGGTCTTAGTGGTTAGGTGTAGTTCATTATTTTCTATCAAAGTTTTATTAATATAACCAACTGTGAACCTTCACCAGTGAGTGTATATATGAAATTTCATGTACTGAAATAAGTGCAAGTTATGCATTTTAGTGGGATGTCTGATCTTTTGTGCTCTTTCCTGGTTGCCACAGACAGATCACAGTGCCTCAAAGTAATGAACTGAGTAAACAAGGCTAGTTGATGGATTCAGAAATGTTTCTGTGAGCTTCTCTATGCCCCCAAAAAGGACTGGCCAAACATTTGGCATCAACTCAACATAACAACAAGGGAAGGGTTGTGGGAGGTGCCAGAGTTCTGGCATCAATGTACAGCTTCCAGCTGGACTGGGGATGAGCAGCCAGCTGGGTGCTTCTGGGTTCTTAGTAGCAGGGAGAAATACTACTCTAAATAAAATCTGTCAGCTTGACCTTTTTCCCCCTTGTTCCTACTCAGCTGCCCTCTCTTCCTACGATATTTCTTATCTCAATTTGGCTGAAAAGGGTCCCTCTGGGACCATCTTCCTCATTTTCCTACTGCCACTTGGGTATCCTTGAGTGGTAACAGCTAATTTAGGCCCCCTCATTTTGTATGTATAGTTAGGATTATGTTTTCCAATGTGCATTATTTTGTATTTATCAACATTGAATTTCATCTGCCATTTTGTTGCCCGGTCACCCAGTTTTGTGAGATCCTTTTGTAACTCTTTGCAGTCTGCTTTGGATTTAACTATCTTGAGTAATTTTGTATCTTCTGCAAATTTAGCCATCTCACTCTTTACCGCTTTTTCCAGATCATTTATGAATATGTTGAACACTACTGTACCAGTACAGAGCCCTCGGGGACACCACTATTTACTTCTCTCCATTATGAAGACTGACCATTTATTTCTATCCTTCGTTTCATATCTTTTCAGCAGTTACTGATCCATGAGAGGACCTTCCCTCTTATACCATGACAGCTTACTTTGCTTAAGAGCCTATGGTGAGGGACCTCAAAGGCTTTCTGAACGTCCAAGTACACAGTATCCAATGGATCACTCTTGTCCACATTTATTGACCTCCCCAAAGAATTCTGGAAATTAAATTGGGGCATGATTTCTCATTACAAAAGTGTTAACTCTTCCCAACAAATCATGTTCATCTATGTGTCTGATAACTTTGTTCTTACCATAGTTTCAATTAGTCTGTTTGGTACTCTATTGACACCTCAATCTGGGACAGTTCCTCAGATTTGTCACCTAAATAGAATGTCTCAGGTAGGGTGACCAGACAACAAGTGTGAAAAATCAGGACAGGGGTGGGAGGTAATAGCAGCCTATATAAGAAAAATACCCCAAAATTGGGATTGTCTCTCTAAAATCGGGACATCTGGTCACCCTAGTCTCAGGTGTGGGAACCTCCCTCCATTCTCTGCAGTGAAGACTGATGCAAAAAACTCATTTAGCTTCTCCTAAGTAACCTTGTCTTCCTTGAGTGCTCCTTTAGTACCACGATCGTCTAGTGGCCCCACTGATTGGTTTGCAGGCTTCCTGCTTCTGATGTACGTAAACATTTTTTGCTGTTAGTTTTTGAGTGTTCGGCTAATTTATCTTCAGATTCTTTTTTGGCCTGCCTGATTATACTTTTACACTTAACTTGCTAGTGTTTATGCTCCTTTTTATTTTCCTCCGTAGGATTTGACTTCCAATTTTTAAAGAATGCTCTTTTATCTCTAACCGCTTCTTTTACTTTGTTGTTTAGCCATAGTGGCACTTTGATAATCTTACTGTTTTTTTTAATTTGGGCCTCTATTATGGTGTTTTTAAAAAGTTTTCATGTAGCTTGCAGGCATTTCACTTTTGTGATTGTACCTTTTAATTTCCATGTAAATAGCTTCTTCATTTTTGTGTAGTTCAACTTTCTGAAGTTAAATGCCACTGTGGTCGGCTTCTTTGGTGCCTCCTCCCTGAGTGGTGCTGCTATTTTACCTCTTGGACCTGCTCCTGTGCTCCACTTAAGATAAATAAAGAATTGTGTCTCCCCTTGTGGGGTCCAGAACTGGCTGCTCCAAGAACTAGTCATTTATGGTGTCTAGAAATTTCATCTCTGCATCCCTTTCAGAGGTGACATGTACCCAGTCAATGTAGGGATGGTTGAAATCTCCCATTATTATTGAGTTTTCTATTTTTATAGGTTTTCTAATCTCCCTGAGCATTCCACAGTTACCATCACCATCCTGGTCAGGAGGTTGGTAGTATAGTCCTACTTCTATATTCTTCTTATTCAAGGATGGCATTTCTATCCATAAAGATTCTGTGGTACAGTTTGATTAATTTAAGATTTTTACTGTATTTGACTTTATGCTTTTTCTCATATTTAGTGCCACTACCCCACCAACATGACCTTCTCTGTCATTCCTATATTTTTTCTACCCTTGTTATTACCATGTCCTGTTGATTATCATCATTGCACCAAGTTTCTGTAATGCTTATCATATCAATATCCTCATTTAATAGTAGGCACTCAAGTTCACCCATCTTAGTATTTAGACTTCTAGCATTTGTATACAAGCACTTATAACTAGAGAGAGTAGAAGATGAAGAAGCAGATTGTCACAAATAGGGGAAAGAGAACCAGGAGGCATTCAACTTAGGTAGAAGTATTGAATTGTTTTGAGATACCCAGTGAGTCAGGGACCAAGGAACCTGTCTCTGGAGAAATGAAACAGAAAGGTGCAGGGGACATGCCTGGTGGGTGTCCTTGCAGTCTGAAGCAGGTTGCTACCAAGAGAGGTTTTTCAGTCATAATAGGAATGGGCGTCTCATGGGAGGGACACAAAGGGGGGCACCAGCTAAAGGGGGGGCATGTGACCTCCCTATGTGAGCCCCCACGTGATTCCTCCACACCCTGCCCCCAGCCCGGGGGCTCTGCGCTCTCCCCATTCCACGTTACCTAGAGGGGACTCTGTCCTCCTACTGTGCTGGGAACTGCAGCGGCGAAAGGAGCAGAATGTGGAGCCGCTGGGCAGCAGCTCTTCCGGTGCAGCTTTACTGCTCCCAGACCTTCCATGCAGTGGTGTCTCCTGTCTGGGATGGGGTCTCTACAGAGGACAGGGCTGGGGTCTGGGGGTGGTACCAGTACAGCCGTAGCAGGGGAGCTGTCAGCACAGGCACTGGCTCCTGGGAGCGGCGGCCTCACATTCTGCTCCTTTCGCTGCTGTGGTTCCCTGATGAATGCCCCCCAGGCATCTGGGGAGGGACGTGTGACCCTTCTTGCCCCTCCCAAGCATTGCCTGACCTCCGTAACATTTTCTGCCCCAGGGCTGGAGCTGTCAGCTGGTAGGCCACACAGCTCTCAGCCGCAGCTGGTGGCAGGCTCCCAGCGCTTCTGAGCCCCTGGGCAGCAGGGGGACCCTGCAGCTCCCAGCCACTGAGGGCAGGGGGGGCACCCTACAGGTCTCAGCCCCCAAAGGTGGCGGGGGATCCCCCACAGCTCCAGCTGCCACAGGCAGCGAAGGGATCCCGGAGCTCCCACTCCCTGTGGGCGGTGGGGGCCCCCGCAGCTGCGCAGCTGGCGGTGAGGGGATCCTCCCGAAGCAGCCCAATGGTGGCATGCCCCCCCCACCACAGCTGTCTGGCAAGAGGCGGGGGGTCCCTCTGCAGCTGCTCAGCCCCAGCAGGTGGCAAGGGGACCTCGCCACTGCTCAGCTGCAGTGCGGAACCCTTTGCAGCTCCCAGCTACTGGGGGAGAGGACAAGGGGACCCCAAAGCCCCCAGCTGCTATGGGTGCTGGACCCTCCTGCCTCCCCATTTTATCAGGGATATTTTTAGTAAAAATCACAAACAGGTCATGGGCTTCCATGAATATTTGTTCATTGTCCATGATTTTTATTAAAAATATCCCTGATAAAATCTGACATTAGCAACTCCATATTAAGAAGAATGGACAGATAATTCAGCAAAGGGCACAAGGATAATAGGACAGTGTGATGTCTCCCTGGAGCAAAAATATGAGATGCCAGTTTTCACTCGTGATGATACATGTTGGAACCAATGATACAGCATCACATGGTACTACACAGATTACAGAAGACTTC